AATGCACATTAGATTAAGTAATGTAGGGACATTACTTAATCTTGTACAGTTGCTCTCTCTTATCCAGGAGGGATATGTTCCAAGACTTCCAGTGGGTACCTGAAATCGAGAATAACTATTGAGTCCTGTAGACACCATACTTTTTCCTATATAGACATACCATTTCACTTACAGGAAGAACTTTACTGCTTCTCTTTGACATATATGAATTGCCAGTATCGCTATTTTTGTGGTTTGGGGCCATTATTCAGGAAAATAAGGGTGACTTGAATACAAGCACTGTGATACTGCAATAGTCAATCTGATAACCGAAACAGCCACCAAATGCCTACCGAGCAGGTAGTGAATACAGCGTGGATACTCTGGACAAAGGGAAAATTCACATCTGGGTGAGAAGCAGCGGGATGGTGCGGGATTTCTTCATGCTACTCGAAACGGTGTACAATTTAAAACTTGTGAATTATTTCTGAAATTTTTCGTTTAATATTTGGACCGCAGTTGACTACAGGTCACTGAAACCACAGAAAGCAAAATCGTGGGTAAGGCGGGACTACTGTAAACTAAAATGTGGTGACGCTCGGGGATTCAAGACAGGTCTACCTGATTTAAGCACCCCAAACATTTTCCCAGCTTATACAGCACCTCCTAATCCATATCCACACGATAGACCCTTGGTAATGAATACAGTAATTAATGACTTCCCAGATGGTAGTTGAACTTGTTTTTAATTCCTGTAGTCAAATAAGTTGGTAGAATGTTACAAGAAGATTAGTTTGGAAAATAACGGTGTGTCATTAATTATCGGCCTTGAACATTCAGAATTGTCATTCATAAGAAACAAGCTCATTATTAATAGGTTACTTTTCTTGTCTTTATTTCCTTAAATTAAAAATAAACTTTTTTCTTACTGCAAAAACAATGCACGTTCGTCTCATACAAATCAGAAAATAAACTTAAGCAAATAATAAGAAATTAAACACACGTGTAATCCCTCCACCCAGATATAACTGCTATAAATGCCCCTTAGACTTTCTGTTCTTTTATACAGATTTTTAAAAATTATATTGTATTTTTTCTTTCACTTTACAAACATCTGGTCAACAGCATTCCATGTCAATACCATGCCTTTTACTACATCAATTTTTATATCTGCTTATTAAGGCGAATAATTTTGTTTCTAAACCACATTTGTTTACTCAGAAGCCACAGGCCCACAGATGAGGAAATAACTGAAGAGCCCAGGTGTGGCAAAGTAGAAAGGTTGAGTAATTCAAAACAAAGCACAAAATATAAAAACAATTATAACCAGTTTGACAGTTGTGCGTCTGTTTCCTACGGCCCTTCTACTCACAAGTCTACCGCTGACTTCAAAGAAAAGTCAGCACAGAGGAGCTCCGGAGGATAAGGTGCAAAACCAGAATCAAACCCACGATAAGAGATTAAAGGAAGGTCGATCAAAGACCCAGCATAAAAGTGTTAGCCCGTGACTTGCTTTGGCCCATGGCCCCCAAATATTCATCAGAACAGAGAGCTCTCTTTGAAGTGTCTGGAAGTGCCTATGCCCAGATGAGTTCTCTGGTCAAAGGGAAATTTAAAAAGTGGCACAGGAAGGAGTTTGGAAAGTCGCCTCTTCCTATCCCTTGTCAGCATATCCCTCACAAGTTGTTTAAATGCTGCATCTTTGATTTGTTGTCCATATGTAAGTGCTTTAACTGTGCTGGGTATCAAGTGAGGAATTCAGCCTAAGAGGAGGAGCATCTTTTTGTCCTTGTGGGAGATGTGGGAAGTACAGATGCAATGTGTGGCAGTAGATTTGCACTCATGAACGTAGCTCTGCAACTGCCACTCTTCCTTTTGGTTCAGTGCACGTGAAAGGTCACATGATATTTCCAAATAGGCAATAAGACTTGTTCCTGATTTTTGTTCATTCTACTTGTTCATTACTTGTTCACTGCTCTCCCAACTAGGAGTTTATTGTTCTGGGGTGTTGGGACATGAACTATCCATTACTCCAGAGACAGGAAGAAAATAAAAGTGCTCCCCAAATGGCAGGAGCCTTATAACATTCAGTTAAAATTTTTAAAGTATTTTGAAAAATAAGAGTTACATAAAATGGTTAAAAATGTATGCTAAGAATATCTTTAGTGAGCTTTTCTTTCAGGCTCTAATTTTCTGGTTGTTCACTTTACATGATCATCTTCTATGTATTTCTATCTTTATTTTCACTTTCCCTGTCACCATATCTTTATTTCCTTCAAAGTTCAAGGGAATTCCTTTTTCACTCCACCTTTTATAGATCAATTTCCTAATTTTTACCTAAGGTAACACGTTAAAGTTTCTGCTGAAAAGTTGGGATTGAACACAATGTTAGGGTCTGGAATATATATTCCCTTTACCAGAACCACAGTCCAGTGGAGGAGATAATAGATTTTCCAACAACAACAACAAAGTGTATATGATGCCAGCTGATGGGAGCTTTGTAAGGACAATCCTTCATGAATAAGGAAGATTGGAACTGAGCCTTGAAAATGCCTGAAATTTTTAAATGTGGAAAAAAAAAATATTTTAGTAGCAGTTAAGGTAACATGGTCAAAGTTGCAGAAGCAGAAAATTATAAGGTGTTTCACAGCAGAAACTTAAAACATTCATTTAGTTGGGGCAGATGGCTCATGTGAGAAGGGAGTGAGAGAGAAGCTTCACTAAATGCATTAGGATTAGAATATTCTGTGGACCCTGGACTTTAGTATGAATGCGAAAGGTGATATTGAAAACCTTGAGATGGAAAATGGCATGCTGAAATGTTATGACAACATTAATCTGACTGGCATACAGGGCGGGTGGGGCGGGGAGAGGCCTAGGGCCATACCTTGGATGAAAGGGCAAGAGTAGAGCCTGAGAGGAGGGAGGGCCTGAAAGAGAATGGAAGAGGTGGGAATTGAAAGGATGAGATGGACTCTGGAGGTCGTGAAATGAGGACTGGTCTGACCTGCAGGAGCAAGGGAGGGGAGCGTGTAGAAGGAAAGAGTTAGAGGACTCATGGATGATTCAGGAACGTTGTCACACATAAACATATTCTCACGCCTTTTACTGAGGTGATAGTTGATGGGAATATGGAGAGGTCAAGTTCATCAACAGAATGGTTCGGAAAACAGAGCAGGTATCCATTATAGGAAACCCAAAGTAGCCTCATCTAAGCATTAAAGATTGAAGGAGGCAATGAGGTTTCAGTTCAGAGAAAGAAATATTCCCTGAAGTTTGGAGTAATGGAAGCTTCAGGGAAGAGATGGGACATAAGCTGAACTTTGAAAAGTGGGTAGAATTTGGAGAGAGTGGGAGGAGTTAAAAGGCTGAGGTCAGGGGTGGAGCAGAAGCAAAGGCACAGGGTAAAACACAGGAATGTTTGTAGCACAAGCCCATCTAGTTGGAGCGGAGAGTTTGTACAAAAATGTAGAGAGAAAAAAAAGGAAAGGCGGAGACCTCTGATTGGTCTAGTAAAGATTTAGAGACCAAGTTAAAGGGTCGTAATTTAACCTTGGCAATGTTAAGCCCCCGACATATTTGAACAAGGGAATAGCCAGTGTAAAAGAGTATTTTGGGAAGTTTAATCTGCGAAAGATGTGCAGAATATACAAAAGTAGAGAGATTGTACTAGCAAGATGAATAGTTGGGTGACTTCTAATCAAAAGACAGTGAAAAAGTAAACTAGGTTGGCACTGATGGTAGAAAGAGTACAGAAGAGAGACAAAGGAGTTACTGCTAAGCCCAATGGCAAGGGAGAAAAAAAGTTTTAGCTAAGGCTTCAAACCTGGAGGCCATGATAACAATTGTGCTATATATCAAACTATATAAAAGTCCAGAGAGAACAAGTTTGGAGGTAACCCAGAGAGTTTAGTATTAAAGAGATGGAGCCTGAGATGGCAGCCAAACAAATGGGTCCAGAGGTGGTTTGAAGTGGCGGCTCGAGGCTCAGCTGGAAAAGAGATTTGCCATTCCAAGCTGAAAAATTCCACACGGCTCAGCAGTTTTCTGAAGTTTTTAATTAAATAATTTATTTATCCAGAAAGCGAAGTATTTTCAAAAGCTCATTTGAGAACTTACACTCTCTTGATACAGATGAATTCTCAATTGCTCTTTTGTTTTCCTTGCAAAGCAGTTCGAGTTGTATGAGAAAGTGGGGAGAGCAGTGGGAGTTTCCTCACTGTTCCAGCTGTAGGGATTGTGGACATTGGCCTCCCGTACGAAATATGCTCCCTTTCAGTGGAAATAACTCATATTTGATACATCGTCCTATCAGTCACAGCACCTAGCACAGTCAATGTTTTGTATATTGTAAGTGCTCGATGTTGCTTGATTTGCATTTTCTTCACAGTCCTTAAAGATAAAAGAGTGGACATAAGAAAAACTAAAAAAGCTTACAGACAATTTTTTAATAACAGACTCTACATAAACAAATGCAAATTTGATGTCAAATTTGAATTGCAAAAATGTTGCAAACAAGGTCTAAGATGTAATAACTAGCTTCAGATCTTTACTAAAATGGTAAAATCTGTTAACAATCCCTCATTTCTTGGAAATTCAGAGATATTCAAAAGTCACAACCCTTTGAAGAGCAGAGTCAGCAGCTAAAGTTATCAAAGTGAAGAGTGAGTGACCTGTGTTAACCCCAGACCCAGGACGGCCAAGGCAGACCTATATTCTTTTTTTCATCTGATATATGAACTAGCAAGGACCTCAGTTATTTGGGGGAGTGGGAGAAAGATAGGAGGGAAGGACCCAGAGTTCTTAAGAATAAAACCAACCAACTATAGTAAAATAGGACTATATATAGATAATATATATCATTCCATCTCAAACTGACAACAACTTAAGTCAGAAAAAGGAGCATCAGGCCAGTTGACGTGCTCATAGGGAGAAGAAACAACATGCCTCCTTTTTTCCCCTTCCAAACGACTTAAGAAACACACCCTTTGTTTTATCTCGTCCTCTCTCTGGTCTTTCAGCTGCTCGACTCATCCAGAACATGGATACCACTGCTGAGCCTTGTTCAGACTTTTTCAAGTACGCCTGTGGAGGTTGGCTGAAACGCAATGTCATTCCCGAGACCAGCTCCCGTTACAGTAACTTTGACATTTTAAGAGATGAACTAGAAGTCATTTTGAAAGGTTAGTAGAGTTTGTATCAATGATTTCTCTCTTACTATATCTATTTTTTAGGCTACAGCTCTTAGCCGTAACAGGGAATAGAGCACAAGCCTGAAGTCGATAATCCCTCTAAGTTTTGCGGACCTCCACCCAGTCACTCGGAGGGTGGTGGACACTGAAATGGATATGTTGGTATTTCTTAGCATTTCTGTTCATTTCTATTTTTTTTGCTTTCATTTCTAGTTACACAAACAATGAAGCCCTATCATCCCTAGGGATAGCGTCTTTATGCCATTATACAGAAGAAGAAATTAAGTGATTGCCACTAGACACCACCTCCCACGGCCTTCCCATCCTGGCCCTGTGTCAAAATCCCTATCAGACATTACTAAGACTTGCCTTCCCAGAACAGGTATATTTTTTTCTAACCCAGTGAAGACACTTTCCCTGGGAAGTTGAGAAAGTCTTGTCTAACCCTCTGCTATCTTCCATCCTCTCTCCTCTTCTAAAAGTTATTTTGTAGGAAAAGCAAGTTTTGCTGTTTTCCAGCATCCAAGCAAGTAGAACAATTCATTCAATTCATTTGGAGCATGAACAGTACAATCACACAAAGATAATTATTTTTCAGCCATCAAGAGGACTATCATATTAAATTCCAAATTCCTGCGTATTATTATTTGTTTTCTTTTTAATCTCGATTTCAAAGAAAAGTAACTTATCTATGGCAGAGCAGTACACATCACCATTCACACATAAAAAAGATAATCTAGTCAAAAATGCTTTCATGTAACTTGGCTAATGAAACTAACCCCCAGTTCTGCACTAGGAATTATGATCAGGTAAGGGATTTGGTTTTTCCTGTAGGGTTTTGGCCTGGGGAGGGAGTGAACATACATACAAAGAAGCAAGTTTCTTACTGAACCTGTGCTGAAAATGTTAATTACAGCTGCAAATGAGCAATTATATTGATGCATTTTATTAAATACCCTATTTCAGACGTCCTTCAAGAACCCAAAACTGAAGATATAGTAGCAGTGCAGAAAGCAAAAACATTGTACAGATCTTGTATAAATGAATGTAAGTGTTCTTAATTTTATTTTATTAAGAGTGTGCCAAAATGTGCATAGACTTCTCAATGAATTTATTTTCATTGTTTTCAAAAGCTGTTATTGAGAGCAGAGGTGGAATGCCACTACTCAAACTTCTGCAAGATATATATGAGTGGCCAGTAGTAACAGAAAACTGGGAGCAAACGTATGGTAAGGCAGTTTACCTTTTTTAAAGAAATAATTTCCAATAAAATCTGTTATTATTACATTATACTTTCATATTAATGCACTAAAGCTTCTAAAGGTATACTTCACCTTTCATTGCTTTAGGTGCCTCTTGGACAGCTGAGAAATCCATTGCACAACTGAATTCTAAATATGGGAAAAAAGTCATTATTAATTTTTTTGTTGGCACTGATGATAAGAACTCTGTGAACCATATAATTCATGTAAGTGCTTGTGGCTGTCAGCCAAAGTTATTTTTAAATTGTAATAAAACTTCCACACATGTTGTTATTGATATTTACAAATAATGCATATTCTCATCTGAAGCGAATGAACAAGGTGGTAATAAATTAATGCTCTGTTCCTGATATCTGGATTTTCAATTGTGAAAGTATTTTCTTAATGATGTGTTGTAGACATTCATCTCTCCTTCCTGCTTCATTTTAGATAACTCTCCTTTCATAAAATAAGTGATAAGAAATGAAAGACTTCAGGCCCCTCCTATTTAGAAAAAGCACCAAATTTCTTTGTATGTTCATGAAAGGAGCATGGTCTGGTTTACGTAAGTAGTACAAGTCTGGAAACCAGAATTCCTAATCGTGTCCAAAAAGAACATAAAAAAAAGGATTTCAAACACAATTTAGTTCTCCCTAAAGAATGTCTGTACTTTTTTCTCAGTTAAGGTAAATAAAATGCCATTCTTTTAAAATGGCTTTGTTAGGTTATTTTCAAAAATGTAAGTGATTCATTTAGGTTTACCTAAGGTGTCACTTAGAACAAGATTAATATTTAACGAGTATGTTTGGAATGAACCAAAAAATTCATAAAGCTTTTCCATGGTCTCCTGTAAAAGAAACTAAACCAAAAGTTACAGGTCATAGAATCATATTTATGTCACTATTGAATAAATCCTCATGGCCATTTTTATTAAAATCACAAGGCATTGAATCCAGCTCTCTTCTTCAGCGGACCCCTTTCTCTCCCTTCGTAAATCCTCTCCGTGAGCTCCCGAATGCCAGTGTCCTACATGATCATGAGGGGGTTTTTTTAAGGAGGGTCAGGAGGTTAGAGAAGGAGCAGTGCCTTTCCGGTAGAGATGTCTCCTGGCTCTTTCCATGCCATTCCTCTGGGCGACGTTTCTTTCGTATCATCCTGGCTCATTGTGCCAGGATTCTCACTTTAACCCACAGATTCTCTGGTTCGCCTCTATACCCATCTTCTTCCCGTGCAGTGCACTGGAAGCAGTCATACAGAGCTGCAGGTGTGTCCAGGGAGCTCTCACTGGCTTTGAGGTGGGCTAGACACAGGATAGCAGACCTGAGTTTCCTCTTTTGCACACTCAGTTGGCAGCGAGGTCTGATGAAGTCCTGAGCAGAGCAGCTTTGGAGAGAAGTGAGGAGGTGTCTTCTTCATCTCCCATAGGGTAGAGGTTCTCCAGAAAAAAATTCTCTCACGAGATTCCACTAGCTAAAAAGTTGTAGCGTTACCATAGAGATTTTCCACCTTTTATTTTTTCACATCCCAGTTAAGAGCAGAGTTAGAAGAGAATGTCCCCCTGGGGAGCATATTAGAATCTCAGGAAGCTGGAATGCCCTGTAAATGTGAAATTTAGAAACTCCCCAGTCCTAGAGTCTTACATGTTTTCATTCACCTGTACCTTTTGTTCTGCATTAAAAATCCTCCCCAGTACATTTTTCTTTTCAAGTTTTCTTTGGATTTCCTCAAATATCTACAGCATAGTCTTTCAGATTATCTAACTACCCATCAGTCTAATGCTTAGAAATAGTGTGGAAACCATTTCCTAACTGTGTATTCACTCAGTGTCTGATCACTACTCTTATAAACAGCAAGAACACTAGGATCTTGCTTGTACAGAGGCATGCTTGTGTTTTGTCCACCTGTTCTGTGTCAGCTGAATGGTTTATTTTCTTGTGTATATTTTTTATAGATTGACCAAGCGCGACTTGGCCTCCCTTCCAGAGACTACTATGAATGCACTGGAATATATAAAGAGGTAAAAGTAAAGTAAAACAAAAATAAAACTACAGACTCATTTGGTGTAAACTTATAAATAGTGAAAAAGACTAAGACCAAGGATAAACTTAAACCCTCTATGTTCTTCACTCTGGACAGATACTTTAAATCACAAATAATGGTGAGCTCTCTTTGATAGAATGAATATTCTCAGCAGAATAAATGAAGGTATTTTAAGAAACAGGGAAACTTGAAATTCCTTATTTATGTCTTGATTTTTAGTACTTGTCATATGACCCATTTTGAAAAGTCAATTTTAAATGCTTTAATTCCACTATAAATTGGATCATTTGAAAAACGAACAGGTTTATCATGGTTGAGGGTGGTACCAATGAGGACCAAAGAATGGTCCAGTATGAGACACGTCACACTCTGTAGCATGCTTCCAGAGCCTTCTGATTTGACTTTCAGAGGACTCTGTAGGTAGGGGCATCCAGTTCAGGCAAACCTTCGCAGCCACCTTTTGACCCAAAATTGATCAGCTAGCCACGGGTCTCCCAGCCTTACCTCCCTCAAGGTGAGGTTTGTGTGCTCCTGCTTATCTGTTGTGAAGGAACAGCAGAAGGCAGCTCAGCAATAGGATGTGTTAGCAGATATTTGGGGAAGGTGTTGGTTCTATAAATGTTTTCTTCATAATTATTTTGTAGCTCAGAAGTAAGCTAAGTTTACCTTCGATGAGCTAATGGGTCACAGTATAGTGGTGTGGCTGAAATTACTCCCTAGTTAAAATTATTAACTAAATATTTTTATACTAAGCATTTATTTTGCATAATTAAGTTCAAAAAACATGGAATAAATTTACTATAAAGTATCTTTTTGAGTGGCTACATGGTATTGAAATGAAGAAAAAGATGTATTATAAAAGGCCACAATCAAATAAATGTGAGATACTTGAGTTTATTATATTCTAGTTACTGTGTGGGTTGCAACTATTGGCTTTACAAGCTCTCCAGCTGCTTCCTATTGCAGAGTTGAGGATGATTGAGGAATTTTGGCTCATTCTACTACATTTTCATCATCTTCAACTGGGATGTTTTCATATTTAAGATTGTGTCCTATAAAGTGTACCACATTTTTCCAATCCTAAAAATATACATTTTGTTTTCTGTATTTTAACTTTCCTGATGTCAAAATACCATACACAGCTGAAGTCGCAGTCCTGCAGATGAGTAGGTACAAGCTGGAACGGAGCTAAACCTAGAGAGGACTTTGTCTGCCCACTTACCAGAAACACAAGCCGAGACACAGATATTCATTGAGTTGCTACTATGTGACAGATAGTTTCCTATGCAGTAGGGTTACCAAGGAAACAAGGCAGAAAGTGTCTTTTTTCACATGAAACGCATATTATAATGGGAGGAGATAGACAATAAAGAAACAAGTAAATTATTTCAGGAAATAATATAAATAGAGAGAGCAGTGTTATAAAGGAACTAAAACAGGGTCTATGATATAAAGTGAATGACTGGGGTGGGTGGATAATTTAGATGTAATTATATTTGCTTTTTAAAAAGATCACTCTGACTACTGCTTAGTTGACTTGTTAAAATAGATCTTGCAAGGGAAACTGCTGACCTCATTTTGTCCTTTCTGGGTACCAGGTGACTAATAGTGAGGAGGGTTCACACAGTCCAGGTATCTGTATTTAACAAAACATAAAGGAGCTTTTTAACTTGGGACTTAGTAACTATGATAAGAGAATTGTTTTGAGATTGACTGAACCAAGTTTGTAAAAAGAACTACATGCAGCTTCCTAAACATGCAACAAACCTTAGAAGTTACACAATAAATGCTCATATGAATCTGCAGGTTCTCCTCCATATAACCTGGTGAATGCTCCAGACAGTCTCCATGCTGGTCCACAGTGGATCCTCTTGTGTCCAGTGTTTCCCCTGCTCAGGTCTCTCTGTGCTGGCAGCTGCCTGCTCCCTGACATACTGTTTAAAGTGGGAAAAAATTCCAAGCATTTTTGACAGGAAACATATCTTCCTTTCTTAATGTCTTCTGCGCATTCCTCCAGAAAACTTTCTGTGTAATACTATTGAATATCCCCCAGCATCAGTGGCTAGGAATAGTATAGTTCCATGATTTCTCAGTCACTTCATGCTTCATATTATGTCAGTTTTCTTCCCCAAAAAAGGGGAAGGCAGAAAATTGTTAAGAACTAGGTGTCCCAGAATAGAATCTTTGGAAGTGAAACTCTTGATCGACAGGTTGTTGGCACACTAAGGTACACAAATATTAGCCATTCTGACTGCCAAGCTATCAGTTCTTCCCTAGGTCTTGCTGTCACTCGTTAACAAAGATACTAAAATTTGAAGGACGATAGTCAAATGAAATTGCTCTCTTCCTCTTTGGTAACTCCAACAAATATCAGCTTTTGTTCAAATGTTAAAATATGTGTTGATTACCTTTTCCCCCAAAACATGACAGTTACCATAAGGTGGCATTTTACATATCTAGAAGTATCTCAAGGAAGAAAAGTAAAACCTCAAAGTAGAATCATGTCTTGTAGAAAGGATTGAACAGCATCAGTAAGCCTGGGTTCTGACAGCTACGATATAAATGCGGATACTGGAAAAGGTAATCAGGATGCTCAGACACATGTTTTAACCTGTCATGTTAGCATAGTTGCCAGGTAATGGAGCTCATTAAAGGAAGTAGTGTGTTCCATGTGGCTGTATTAAACATTTAAGCATCCCAGAAGCTAGTGCTTCCAGTTTTCTGGGAAACTTGACCAGCTCAGCAAACTAGAAGTGTCATTCATTCTTGGCTCATGCCAAGTTCCATAGGCTTTAGATTTATCTATAAAGATGAAAATACTGGAGTGGAACCAGTTTACTGAATCAACAAAGTGCGAGAGAGCATTCTTGTTACTGTTTTCTCACCTGACTAACAAAAAAAGCATCTTACGATGTTAAAAAAAATCTTAATAAGTTAATATTGGAAAATTCAAATTACCATTTCCTTCATAGTCAGTAGTAATTCCTTGTTGAATGCAGATGAATTTATGTGATTTGAAATACAGTTAATTCAAAAACATTACATGCTTATTTTTTACAACTGTTAGTCTCATAAGGTATGAACTCAGACATATTTGTTTACTTCAAAGTGAAACAAGATTTCTGATTACCTTTGAAAGGAAAAGAATGGAGTTGACAAGAATACATCTAAAAGCATTCCATTATCCTGTTACCTTAGTGATTAGATTTTTAATACAGACTCCCGCTAAAAAGTAGTTTGTTCTGTTGAGTAGCAGATTCATAGATAGAGATGCTAGCCAGACAGCCCCAGCATCGCTGGGTATCCATGAAAGAGAGAGCCTTCTCCCCAGGCAACTGTTTACTTAGCATTTAGTAAAGGTCACGGAATGCCAATATCTAAACCCTACTTAAAGCTGTCCTCTTGACTTTCAAATTGATAATAACGCTGTACATTTTGCTTAGATTCTTGCTAGATAAAATACTTCCATCTCCTTATTAGTTTTATGTTTGATCCTTTTAATGAGTCGCCATAAATTCAGATGTGTCTTTGCACTTGCAGTAAATGTAAATGGCCCCCTATCACTGGTAATTGATTAGCAGTGATGTCACACTCTTGAAATTGTGAAAGTGTTAAGCACTGTATAGCCTTCCTTTGTATTTATTTTTTCACTATTATTATTTTTATTGCATTGTGTGTTCACAACTTATAGTTAGATTTCTTTCTGTCACCATATATTTGACCCCTTTTACCCCATGTACCCTCTGGTAACCACTAGTCTATTGTTCATGTCCATGAGTCTTTGTTTGCCTTCCTTTGTATTTCCCTGTGAACAAGTCTTAGAAGCACAGAAGTGCCCATCTATCCCAAATTTGTTTGGCATGACTTTCCAAATTATGATTGTTTATTGTTAAGCTGGTGTTGGGAGCTTAAGTTTTGAGTGAATTTTAATGAGGTGGGATCATAATTTATTTTAACTGTTGATAGATAATAATGGCTAAATGGCAATGGGTTGAGATTTATGAAATTAGCACTCAATCTCCTGGAGTTGATGCCACTCTGAACTTGAATAAGGCATTTGTATATTCTGTAAAAGGTCCATAATGTAACTAGTTTATAGCATACCTTCAGAAAGTTAAAATGTATGTGAAGATAAAATGAAAACAATTTGAATTTGGGTTCTTAGAAAAAGCTGATATCCAAATATGGTATCTTAGAGAGAAATTTTATATTAATGGGACCCAACTGTGGAATTAACTGACACCTACCTGTTTGTATTAGAGGAGCTCATGAGAACACAGACTCATTTAAAAAACAAAACAACTGCATGACCAGAAGAGACAGATATGAAGATATTCTGATAAATTTCTATGAGTTTGTGGCCACTTCTTTATGAATAGGCGAAAAAATATATGTATAAGCAGGAGAACCTAAGAAAAAGAAATTTGGTAAAGGAATATATTAGTATTTAAGAAAAAATATTAGGTTATTGCTGATCACGTGTTTTGCAACTGCATTCTTGTTAAGGCAACTTAAAGTAACTTGATTAAAAACTGAAAATTACAAAATCTCCATAACCAGTTATGAATTACTTAGTACTAAAAACTGAAAATTGCAAAATCTCCATAACCGCAGATATAAATTACCCAGTACTTTTAAAGCTGTACTTTATTGTTTTGTTCTTATTCAAAGACATGTTGACCTTTTAAGAATCTGTGCAGGTCATTTCTTTTAGGATTTAGAAAAGGGTTTTTATTTTACTGTTTTATCTGTTACCAAAAATTAATATTGAATTGAAAATAAATTTTTAACTTAAAGTACTGTGAAGAGTATTTAGAAGGTTCACCAGTAATTTATTGTTATTTATTTCTTACAGGCTTGTACAGCCTATGTGAATTTCATGATTTCTGTGGCCAAATTGATTCGTCAGGAAAGAGGACTGCCTATAGATGAAAACCAGATTTCTTTGGAAATGAATAAAGTTATGGAATTGGAAAAAGAAATTGCCAATGTAAAACACATTACCTATGATACACTGAATAATGTTAACCACTTTTTTTCTTTCTTCTCTCTATCATATTTTAAGGGTAAAAGGTACAACTCCTTAACCAAGAGATAAAAATGCATAGCTCAGTAATGGATCATTGACTTTACGAGGACCTTTGAAACTGTAGAATTTTATGGTAAACTGGGTTTCTAACATCCAGAAGACATACTAAGTTTGACAAATATTAAACTAGATATACTTAATTACCTATTGTAAGTGGATTACATCAAAATTCCATTTACAGTCAACTGTCGTTGAGATGTCCTTGAGACTCGGCACATTTGATTGCTAACTGTTCAGTAAAGCTGTTTTAGTCTTGATACTTACAGTTTTACTTTTTTAAAAGTTTATAGTGATCACAAAGATTGTCTTTATCCCTTTGCTTAGAAATATTAGCCCCTGAACATGGCCACATGACTATGCGATGTCACTTAGCTCAGACTGTCAGGCTGCTCAGCTCAGGAGAGATCCTACAAGAAGAGTTTATCAGCAAAGCCCAAGGAGTATATTCATGAATTTCCAATGGTTGCAGATGAGCCCTTGGATTCTGAGTTGGCACTTTCTTGTCTTACTTACTGGGTCTACAGTCTCAAGCCAGTGAACTCTGTTTGAAGCAGCATCCAGGTTATTCACTGAAGCTCTGGTCGGTTTCAGTCTAGAAGCCACAGAGATCTCTCTGACATTGCAGACAACAACCTGCACTCCTAAATCCCCATCTGCTTGCCACTGTCATCGGAATCTTTGAAAATCTGAAGATCTTAGGGGGCAGTTTTAGCTTTCCTGGAGCTACATGAGAACAAAAATCTCCAATCACAGCAAGACTTTGCTTGGAGCTGCTGCTGGATGAATGGCAGTTTGATGGGTTACATGTGGTTCTGTGTTGAAAATAGTTATTAGAGGAGAACATTTTATTGCTCAGGTTTTTACTACTAGCACCTTCCCAGACTATATTCTCCTTTGATCTGCTTCAGCTATGTGGGTAGTTGTATCTTACCTTAGAATTATTTGTGTCTATATTTTCTCCTTTCTCTTAGACTCTGACACTGCTGTGGTACCTTAGTCATCTGTGAATCACCTATGTATCTCTAACAGTGTCCAGCTTATTATTGCATGCAGGAGATGTTCAATAAGTAATCTTTTAAATAAATGAATAAATAAGTGACCTAACGGGGAAATTGGAGCCATTGTCACTGAGAAATAATTCCCATTTTAAACTTTTACCTTCTGTCTCTTCTCACTTAAAATTGCTTTTGCTCGTTTCAACCACTAGCTGGGGGTTGCTATTGCAGTTGTCTTTTTTGATTCAGTGAAAAAAATAAAACCGGATGCTATTGAATATAGAGCACTAAACTGGTTAGGCAGTCACAAAATTAGAAGGTGGCTAACACTCTCCTCAGATAACACACAATTTACCTGTGCTATGTACTAAAAATTTTCTCTGTCTTACTTGCTTTAAATTCTTGCAGAACCCATTGTGGGTTTATTTTTTTCTCTGTCTGGATTTTAACTGAGACACCAAATAGTAGTGGTGGGGGTGGGAGACAAAGTATTTGAATGATAAATTGGAAATGTCTATATTCAAAAAAGTTATTATGACACAGATGAGCTGGCCATTAGCCATAGAAAGAAGGAGCCTGCAAATATCACTAATGTGGTTTGGCAGTTCTCAAATATAAAAAGATTTTTTTTTTTTAATTTTGTACTCTACACCGCAGCCAAATCTTGATAATTAGTACTGAACATACTTAAAGTCTCTTCAATATCACTTTTCTTTTTGATATGACAAAATAAATTACAAAATAAGCACAGAGTAGAACTTAAATAAAATTATATTGTACCTATCCTATATTTTTTCCTTAAATATAGTTATATTTTTCTAAAGAATTCTCAGTTCTAAAATTATGATCAAAAATTAAATCCACAGGCTACCGATAAACCTGAAGATCGAAATGATCCAGTGCTTCTTTATAAGAAAATGACATTAGCTGAAGTCCAAAGAAACTTTTCACTAGAGATCAATGGGAAGGTAAGCAGCAAGCTTTATTTATTCTCTTATTGAGCCATTTCTAAAAATTACTACATTGAGATGCAGTTTTTTAAAATTTAATGATTTATTTATTGAAATAAATTGAACATCAAATGAACTTAGATGACATCAACCATTTGACTTCATGACAAGACCTGGAAAAAAATATTTGAAATTATTATACTTATATTTAGTTGGAAGGAACCTCAAAGGTAAAAGTCTTTTCAAGGGAGCTATTCAATATTTGTGGGAACCATCATAGAAAAGGAATTTTGGAAAACATTAAAACTGAAAATTCTTTTGAAAGACTATTTTATAGCCATCGGACTTGAACAATCAAGTAATAAAATTCTTTAAAATTCTAAAGGATAATTTGTTCGTAGAACTTGCTGTGTTCTCATCAAGGCTTTCTATGGAGGTGTTCAGAGCAGTGATGGAGAAATAGAACACAGGAAATAAGAAAAACCTGTCTCATCAATTTCATTTATAAACAGCTATTGACATCTTTTTGCTTAGCTGTAATTCATTAGCTAGTATATAATTATCTCTTTGGGGGGCTGTTCACGTATACTTGTGTAATAGTTGATGCACACAATTCGGAAATAAAACAACATGCATGGGAAAATCTACATACTACCACATTCAGTGATGGATTCTCTTTGGCACTAATAAGCAAGAACTTTTAAAAAGCATAACCTATTGAGTTAAGAATTTCTCATAGCATTTTTAATATAATAAGTGCTTAATAAATATGTTTGCAAGAATTGTCCAGACCACCAAAGAAAATCAAGAAACTTACATATCACTTCATACTTAGTAAGTGATATATATGTAATCATAGAGCCTAAAATATTGATAATCTTAAACATTCTCAAACACTGAAGTGTGGCATTTCAGAAAGATTTTTATGACTATTCACTGGTGGTTGAATAGCCACAATTCCCATTTAAAATATAATAGACAAGATTCCATCTTTTGGCAACTCCAAACCTAGCTCTGACTATAAAAACTTCATGGCTATAGACCCATTACTTATAGTTTGAAATGTGTTTTGTTTGGCTTCATTGAACCATCTGTGGTGTATCTATAACATAACTGTACCTCTGCTTTAACTATAGTATGGTTTCATTACAGCAGAATATCTACTGAGATGTATTACTGTATTTGAATTAATTGTTCATTAATATTGACTTTTAAAAGATAAACACTTTATGCTCACTTAAATTTTTGCATAAATCAAGGAAATTTTATTTTTAAAGCTAAACGTTTCTTTTTTAAATATTGGTTAGACCAAGAAAATAACATTGAGCCTAATTTCTAGCTGTATATTCTCTATGCTTATAGGTTTTGCTTTTGTTCTGAAGTGGTTGGTTTAATTCTTCTATCAAAATAATCATACTGCAAAACTAATTTTTATTTAAAACTAGTTGAAACAATTGAGGGAAAATCTCAAACAATTATCAAACTGATGATTGTAATAATTATATTGTGATGCAACTGACACCCTAAGCATGTCTGACCCCATAACCATAATTAAGTGTTGGAATCGGGAAGAGAAATCCATAATTACTGAATGTTTTGTGCCTGCTCTTTTCCAGTCATTCAGCTGGTCAAATTTCACAAATGAAATTATGTCAACTGTGAATATTAATATTACAAATGAGGAAGATGTGGTTGTTTATGCTCCAGAATATTTAACCAAAATTAAGCTCATTCTTACAAAATATTCTGCCAGGTAGGTATGTCAGAGTGCCCATGTCCTCAGAGTTTACATTTAATATCAGTCTTTAGAAGCTTTGCAGCCTCATCTTTTCTGTTGCTGGGTGGTGGGTTTTTTTATACAGAGATCTTCAAAATTTAATGTCCTGGCGGTTCATAATGGATCTTGTAAGCAGCCTCAGCAGAACCTACAAGGAGTCCAGAAATGCTTTCCGCAAGGTGAAGAAACAATCTCTCTTTTCTTAAGACTTAAAGCATAAAGAGATACATGGTTATGAAGGTGCCATGTACACTGCTTAAATGTGGTGAACTTTGCCAAAAGACAAAATGTCAAATGTTGATTATTTTGCCCATGCTATAGGCTATGATGCCTAGAAAAAGCCAGTTTTCATGGGCTTTGCCATCCTGTGATTGTCTACTGTGGCATCATGATTGAAATACCCTGGAAGTATATGCATTTGGTTGTGTGAGCAGCTCATAAAAGATACTGGCTTGGTTTTTTGCTGTTAAAAATAATTGAAGGGCTATCTCAATTAACTTGATTTTTCAGATGCTCATAGCACACTAGACATACACACAGATGGACTACACTGATGTGGACAGCCACTGAGAACACAGCTACCTGGAGACAAGCTTAATGCCTTTTATTAGGCTGTACCTACATTTAAACACTCATCATCTAATTCTGTTGTGAGGGGAAAGAGCAAAAGGGATTGAGAAAGGATAAATTCTGGCAAATATATTTGGTGTCATGGAAAGGAAATAACTCAGATTGATTGAATTTCTTTTTACCCTTTAAAAGAAAATGTAGACACATTTTTAAAATTAAAGAATGTAAAAATGGTGTTTTGCTAAATTTCCCTTACCTAAGTTAGTCCCCTTGTTAGTACTTAAATTTATATACATATAGTTCTTCTAGGTACTGGAAGTTCAGCTAAAACATTAAAAAAAACAGGAATATGTTTTCTCGTATGCCAGATTTCTCCCCTGTTACGTTTATTGAACATTTCTTCACATTTAGGTTACTGCAGTGGTAACAGTGTTATTTTTTTGTTTGTTTTGGGGTTTTGTTGTTGTTGTTTTCTAAAGCTGTCTAAAAGGTTCTTAACTTGTAACAGCTAGAAGTTCTACTGGGACAGGTAGTGAAAATATACCTTGTTTTCAGATCATATATAAAGAAACAATTGGATTGGATTACATTTTATCATAGGCAAGGACAACGTGCCTTGTGAGGAGAAGCAATGAATATTGCAAAAACTTAGGAGACGTAAAGAATAGAGTCCTGTGAAATTTGTGCTCTTACCATGCTGCAGCTCTCTTCTGATCTCACGCCATTTCCTTTTTCTCTCCCATAGGCCCTTTATGGCACAACATCAGAAACCGCGACTTGGAGACGTTGTGCAAACTATGTCAATGGGAACATGGAAAATGCCGTGGGAAGGCTTTATGTAGAAGCAGCATTTGCTGGAGAGAGTAAACATGTGGTAATGTTTTCAGCACAGTACACTATCAGTTATTCGTATTGATGGACAGTTACAATAATCTATAATTTGGCTAAAATTTTATTAATTGACAGAATCTTTGAATGACAGTTTGCCATTATTTCCCAGTAAACTTCATCTTCCCTCCCCCAAGGGTCTGCTTATGTTTCTGATCCTAATATTGTTTAGTTTAAAACCAACTGTCCATTTTCCAGAAGCAGTAGATTCAGAGTACCTAGTCACATGTTCTTTTGACATAGTCATTTATAAATTCTCCTATTCGCAGAATTGACTAAGAATTAGTGTTTTCTTAAAAACCTAGAAAGTAAACCCGGATTTATTTCTGTAAGAAATGTATTCTATTTTTCATTGTTACTGAAATGAAAACAATGGAATTTAAAGATATGGTGAAATAATCTATTAAAATGCTACTTAATGTTTAAACAAACTACAAAAGGTAATGACAGCTAATATTTTATGTTAGTTTTTCTTTTATGATAATGGAAACTATTACGATCTAAGCATGATTTTTAAAAGTATATATTAAGACTCATTTAACCATTAGTGTTGATAGTAGCAATATTGGTTTAAAAATATAATTACCCACATATATTCATTTGTCAAGGTCACAGTTCGTGTATAAATTTATGTTTATTAACATATTATTGAGTCACATAAAGATAGTTTATAGCTCTATTTTTTAAAAATGTGTTTTACAAAAAAAAAAAAAAAAAATTAATTAATGGCCCAAATTTGTCTTCTATTGGTTTGAGGTTGAGGATTTGATCGCACAGATCCGGGAAGTCTTTATTCAGACTTTAGATGACCTCACGTGGATGGATTCTGAAACAAAAAAGAGAGCTGAAGAAAAGGTAAAAAGCAAGACAGGGCTACCTATCAAAGAATAATTTCATAAGGAAATAGTAACTTTTAAGAAAGTTTGGAAAAAATATAATCAAGAATTCCATAAAATAAAAGCTCTTTCAAGATGTTATGTTTCCAGGAACATTTTTCAATTTTTTTTTATATAATTTTCATCTTCTATTATCTCTTTGCAATCAGCTCCTACTTGTCATGTTCAGTTCAAAACTCTGAAAAAGCTTCAACTTTCCTTTTTTTATGGAAGATTTCAGAAAACGAGGAAAATCTGATGTGAACAGGAAAGAATGAAAAGATACTATCAGCAGTTCATATTTTTCCTCCTTTTATGAAAGATACCTGAAAGGGCTCTACCAATGTCTAAAAATTTGCCCTCAATTTTTAACACAAATTTCTAGCTAAATATTTTTAAACATGCCCATTTAGCTTTTTCTATATCACCTAGAGAGAAAAAAATACTGCATTTCTATTCAAGCAAATATTAGGGAGTGTGTTATTTGAGTATTATAAGGTGCTCTAATTAGAGGGATATTGAAGGAGCCTTCTTGTAATTATTCCTATCTGCACCCATTGTACACCTTCTATTGAGACTTCTAATATCTCACATAAGAATAAAGGTGAGATTTCTAAGGAAATGTTATGTTTAAGTTTACTATGCTCATTTGTCTCGATAACTATATAAAACTAGAAGGAACAACATGTCCAGTGAAAACTGTACGTGCTTTACGAGCAATATTCACATGCAACCCGATTATTCCTCTATAGTTAGGGTTGCAGAAAGAACAGAGTATTCTTTGAACTGATAAAGAAGGAGTTCAAAACCTATTATCATGAGAGAATCAAGCTGTAGTTTGGATCTGTTTCAGGATTAAACCACATGGAGGAACTATCTTTTTCAGCTCTCACAGAGCTCTGGGTAGGTTAGGTCTAGAATTTAGGCCCCCCAGTATAGCTACCTTTTCATCACTCTGCTTAAGTCCTCAGAAATTCTGGCTGGATTTGCTCCTTTTATGGCTAGCTATTCAAGACATGGGTCTGTTTGATATAGCCAATTGGAGTGTTCTAGATCATCATTTCCCAAGGTGGTGTCACAGAACACTGGACCTGCCAAGTTGTTCCACAAAAGAGAGTCCCATGGCAACAAGAATTTAGGAAACACTTGCTGTAAGAAGGCTTCCCTGATCCCGCACTAATCTAGGTTACATGCTCCTGGGGCATGATTTTATGGCACTATACGTCACACTTGAGAGTTAATTCTCATTTCCTTGCCAATCATTGATCTTTATGGTAAGCAATCTGGTGGCAGAAATTTGCCTGGCATTGTATCCTCAGCCCCTTACACAGTACCTGGCTCATCGTAGACCCTTGAGCATATATTGAATGAATAAATGGACAAATTAATTCCTCCTCTTGGACGCTTATAATTTTGACTCTTAGAAGTCCTGCAATAAAGAAACCTACTTAATATTTTTGTCACAGTATTTACCCAAAATATTTGACAATAAATTCTATGTAATAACTTTTATTTTCGTAATTTGTGTCCTTTATAACACTTTTTGGGGAAATGTTTTTTAGAAAATAAAGTGTCATTGAAAGGGGGGCTGCTGATTTGTAATGAGCCAATGGTGTGGAAACCTACAAGAAAATGGGCTCAAACTAACTGACTTCATGATACATATCCTGTCCTAACCACTGGGAAATCCTGGGCTTATGAAATATATTTATAACAAAACCACATCCATTTGATGACAAATCAAATAACTCAGAGACGCAGGCTTAATTCCCCATGAAAATTTAAATTTAAAGAGCAATGTGATATGGTAGAATCAAAAGTCAAATACCTTTGAGAAAAATGAAAAAGCAAAAAAATAGAAATAGCAAATAGTAAACAAGTGATAATCATGAAATAAAAATAAGTAAACTTAAAAATAGACATAAAAATTAGAAATGGCAGTAAGCAGGTCGTACATATGAGCTGATATAATAAGGAAAACTCTTGTTTTCCACTCATTTAATTAATGTCATTCATTTAACTTTGAGAAGATAGGTACACCATTATGGAGACCGAAGGAGAACATAAAACTTTCAAGAACCAATATTCAGGAAGAATAGTAGCACTAAACCTGTAAGCCTATATGTGTTTTTTCGGCCAAATCAGTAAAGTGGAAGATGATTGTAACCTGCTAGAATGGAAGCTTTAAATATTAAACCTCTTGTAAATTGAAGAAAAAGTTCGTGAAAGTACAATATACGTGAAACAATGACTTGTCAGCTCTTATTTTGGTTTTCTTGGGAAAGCTATAGCCTATGAGAATAGGGCATTAGAAGCTGAATTTCAGACCAATTTTTTTGTTTATTCTGAATCTCGAAAAGAAGCCACTGCAAAGATCTCTGTTTCAATGTTGTCAGCTACTCTTTGTAAATAGTATGGATCAAGTTATTCAGTTGATATTAGTGGGCAAATTATAACGTTTGCATTTGAAAATTACATAATCATTCTCACATTCAGTATTATAATTTTCATAGGCCTTAGCAATTAAAGAAAGAATTGGCTATCCTGATGACATTGTTTCAAATGATAAAAAACTGAATGATGAATACCTCGAGGTAAGTCTCTATAAAGTCGCTGGGCTAATGACACTTGGGGCTGGTGCAACATCATTTCTAGCTATGGGATACTAGAAATTATGTGAAATAAACTAAAACCATAGGACTTATTATATAAAGCCTTTAACACTAAAGACAGATCTATGTTTGTTTTATTTTAGCCTTTTGTTTCATTTTCTTGGTTTTTATTTGATTTTCATTATTTTGGTTTCCACATATTCCATTTTAAGAGCAGTAAGAAAAACGTTGTGTCCTTTAGAGAGTACCAAGGGTGGACATCAAAGTGGTAGACAGCAGGCAGCACTCCATCCCCTTATCTCATCTTCTGCAGGCTTGAAAAGTAAAATCTTCAGGTTTCCATCCACTTTCTAATTATTCCTCCATTGGATAATCCAGGTCGTGCATTCTTTATTGAAAAAACAAACAAAAAATCTGTTGTTTGAGAATCAGAGACTATTTTATTCTCCTCTGGTAACGTAACAATGAAAAGAGAAGAGACTTGGTTAAAGTCACTGCGGTACTGTTTTCAGACTCAGCTGATGGCCCTGTTGGTGACCTTGTGGTCACTGCAACTACTTGAGACTCTGGTGATGACATGGTGACCCTTGCACAGAGTGAGGATGACAGTGATTCCCCATCTGCTGATTAGTAGTCTAACGTGGGGGTTTGCAAGGCACGGTGTCCTCTTCTCCTTTTCCATTTGTAGAAAAGCTTAACTATTTCTTTTAAATGAGCTGGCTGCGGCGTGTTACTGGGGGCCCTTGTGCAGAAGCCTAGTCACTAAGACCATAGATGCAAAGCTGAACTGTGTGGGTTCAAATCCCAGCTCCACTACCCAGTAACTTGGGCAAGTGCACTTGTCTGTGCCTCAGTTTCCTCAACTTTTAAATGGTGATAACAGCCCATCTTTATGATTATTAAAAGAGTGTAATCTACATTTAAAGTTTCTAGAACAGTGTCTGGCACATAGTAGGTACATATGAGAAACATAGTAGGTTCTATTATCATACCTGGTATTTGAGGATTAATATAGTAAGGCTTGTCCGACACTTGGTTTCATTTGATTAATTACAAAAGAATAGACTGAAATAGTGATTCAGCTAGACCAGCAGTGACCTGTAATATAGAACTAGACTGACTGGAACTAAATTCTTTGATAAGTGTTAATGCTCTCTGTTGACTTTATTAATTGATAGAATTTAAGAAAATATTCTCTTTGTTTTTTAGCAAAAGTTTTATTGGTTTTAATATTTTTTCCAAAATCTTTTATGTCATATAGTTGAACTACAAAGAAGATGAATACTTTGAGAACATAATTCAAAATTTGAAGTTTGGCCAAAATAAACAACTAAAGAAGCTTCGAGAAAAGGTGGACAAGGATGAGTATGTATATTTCCGTTTCTAATATGTTCATTCAGAAGGGGGCCTTTTCCCCTCTTCCTTGTTGTATTAAGAGAAAGAGCCTGACTTAGAACTTAGTTTTAAAAAATATAATTGTCCTCCTTCTATAAAGTACTTTTAAGAACATCTAAGAATATCATACTAAGGATGGGTCAGAGATTTAACCAAATTTAATATTTTTTTATTAAGGTATGTCCTCACACAACCTCATTTCTTTAGTTTCTTTTCATTTTATTGTGTGTCCCCTCTGTTTACCTCAAGAACACCTTAATCTAAGTAACCCATAGCTTCTTCAAGCCTTCTTTGAGGCTTTACTCGCTATACTTAGAATTTTCTTCTGCTCACGACTCCACCTGTTTTCTATCAGTCAGTCATTCTACACCTCCCTGCCCTTCCTAGATTGCTCCACATGACACTTCTCTCACCCTAGTGGTAGTCAAATGTGAGATACCAGGAATTACTCTCATTCGTAGCTTTCAAATGCTTAATCTTTGCTTATAGGTGGCATTAGTACTTCACATTAACTATTAGTTTAGTGTTTATTTTTCAATTAAATGGAGGCATCTAACACATTTATCAACACATGTGTTTGTGAACTTAAATCCCTAGAATTGCTTATGTTGACTTCTCACTAGGCAGTCAGCTCCTAGAGAAGAGGGTGTATTGCTTTTGACTATCCACCACAGTGAGTGATGAAAACATAGGTTTTCAGTTAAAACTGAATTAATGAGTGAGCAAGTGAAAAATAAATATGCTAACTTGATTTGTGTGGTAGCTGACATAATAACATGCCAATGAGGTGCTTGGTTTATTTAAGCATTCATTTATTCTTCCACTTATTTGTTTATTAAACTAAAATTTTTGAACACTAAGTTCATGCATCCTGGAGTACTGGGAGAATCAAAGATGAACTTTGATTGTGTTACATAACATTGTCACAGCAGAAGGTATTGTGGAGGAGGAGGAGAAGTTTCCCGCTTCACTCTTTCTGAGTTTGTATGGCTGGACTAATAATAACATTGATATATGACCCGATTAACAGAAGAAAAAGTTTAATACGTGCACATAGGAGATTATAAATGATACCCTGAGAAATGATGAATCATCCAGATTTTTATACTTTTTAGACAAAGAAACAATAAATTAGTGAAGAATAGATAGGACGAAGAAAGTTAGATTTGTGTGCTTATTAGGGAAGAATCTAAGCAAAGTTGGGACTTGGATTGTAAATTAGTAAAGAAATCAGTTTTGTTTATACAAGCTTTTTGGCCTTAAATTCCTTAACTCTAGGGATAATGGTGTCTCTCTCAGCCTCCTAGAGCAAGGAGGGCATCCTTCACAGGAGATAATTATTTCCTGCATTCAGGGAGATGAGGGAGGGTCAGCGTGCCCTTCTTGCACCAGCTGCTTGTTGAGTAACTTTAATTCAAAGTAATCATTTTGCCATTGTGGAATATTTGGGGGTGGCCTGCCCAGGGCCCTGAAAGTAGGAAAGACATAATGTAATAAACTGTACCACCGGTGGGGAAATATTGTGCCAAGAAAAGTACAAAGTGCAGTGGGACTGTTTGATGCTAAGACTGTTCTAAGTACACCAAGTACGGGTTGGACAAAATTCCTAAATGGAAATACCGATACATTTCAGTCTTTATACAGGTACCCTGAAAGAGAGACTGATTTCTTTTGCTGACCTCTGGGTTTATACTGGAGCGAATATTGTGTTGTCTGGCACTAAAAATGGGGCTGCAAATGTCAGAGGATGTTTAGTGTCCCAGCTAGGAAAGAAGAAAGGAGAATGGGTGCATATGATTGGCATTATAATCGGTTAATAAACCCTTTTTCTAGAAACCCACAAAGTCATCAAAAAGAATATTCTGAGGGTTAAATTTATAATCTGAGACGTTTCTTAGAAGTCTGAATATTTTCATTTCTTTAAAATACTTATAATTGCATTTAATATTTGTTAGCACCATGTAAATTATCTACAAATATTGTCAAATATTCTTTCTGAAAATAGTTAACATAATCTGCGTTCATATGACACCAGAATTTTTTTTATAATTTTAAAAATAGTTGTTGAAATATTGCTTGATCTTTTCTTTTGAAGTTGATGTAGTACCAGTTCCATAATTATTTTGTAATATAGTTTGCACTTTTCATTCCCTTTATCATATGTGTTGATTTTCTCTGAGCCCTTTTCTCTTTATGGTAGATAATTGAAAGCCAAACTTGTATACAATATTTGAATGAACATTTGGTCAGTAGCATGCATAGTTCAGTAGTACTTTTTGAGTCCCTTCCATGAGCTTCTGATAGTCAATCATAAGTGCAATATAACTTTTAAGGTCTTCTCTGCCAAACCAGGCTAGTTTGTCTTCCTTCCCCATCTAATGCCTACATACCGAGTACAAGGGTCCAAAATTCTGACTGCACATTAGGGTCATCGGAGAAGCAATAGAAATAGTACTGATTGCCCAACTTCACCACCCTAGATTGTGATGTACCTGGCTGTGGGTGGGGACCTAGTTATAGCAGGTCCTTGAATAATGTTGTTTTGTTCAATGTTGTTTCGTTATGATGTTGATGAGGTGCTTATATTAAGCAGGAACTTTTAACTCTTGTTTACATCAATTAGGCAAGGTAAAACTGGTTCTGTCATTTCGCCACAGTTCCAGGAACCTATTTATGACGTCAAGTGAGGACTTACTCTACTGATATTCTTTTTAAGTACTACCACCATCCCCCTCTCCAAGTGAGAACCCTTGAGTTAAAGCAGTTCATTTTGTATCAACTCATACTTGTTCATATTTACTTTTGTGGAATATTTTTTATAAGATAATGCCTTTCATTTGGCAATTTAGGCTTAAATTTTATTTTTTGTCTTGGAAAGTATTGGAAGCACTTTTGATAGTGATTGCATCAAATCATTAGGATTTTGCCCTATAGGACACAACATAATAAAAATTTCTCATATTTTATTGAGATTTCTTATAGTGAAAGTTCCTGACTTGTTTTGTATCTGCTTAACAGTAATAAAATCACTATGTTTCTTTCCTTTTTTGTGTGTAGGATCAAGTTCAAGTCCTCACTGCCTATGTTCAGGCAGATAATATATATTGCTTCTACTTTGTTCACATAGCTATAATTATCTTTCAGAGAATTATATTTTCAGATACTCAAGTCTTCACTCTGAAGGTTTTTCAGGAGAAATAGGTCTCCACACCCACAATTGATGGGACAGAGATGAGAAAAACTACTGATTATAGTAGGGTTATATTGTAGGGTATCATAGAGAAAAGATGATGCGTTAAAGTTTTAAGGTAGCAATTAATTTAAATAAATTTAGTCTGTTAACCAGATAGTAAACTTCTGCACCTTTTATTTTTTCACCACAAATGCTCTCACTGGGAAAATCTGTACACTTTCTAGCATCTTCTACCACTGTCATGACCACTAGATGTTTGTGTCTGGCCCAGGTTCATTTGTTGGGCTCCAGACTCAAATGTCTAGCTGCCTATGAAACACCTTCATGTAGGTCTTCCAGCGACACTACAAACACAACATTTGCCATTTTGTACAAAAAATTGGTCATCTTTTTCCCAATATCTCCATATTTTCCCATATTTTCAATAACTTCTGTCTTACTATTACCGAGATAGAAACCAGGGATTCATCTTATCATCCTAGACTGACCCCTTTCTCTCATTTCTGACATCTGTGTGATATCTACTTTAAATTCTCATCAAAAAAAAAAAAAAAAAAAGGTTTGTATTCACTAGCCGTTAATTAAATATTACATAGGCATTGGGGGTGAGGGGTCTCCATCTTACCTTCTCCATTTTCACTGCCTTAATTCAGACATTTCTCATTGTTTGCCAGAGTTCTTGGAATATTTTTCCTGGTTTTATCACTGATCATCTCACATTCCTTCAGCTTATTCTTCCTACTCTGCCTTAGAGAAATTTTAAAGGCACAAATCGAGCCATGTTATTTCTCGATGAAAACCTTTCAGTGTATCTCTGTTGCAAGGCTCTGCACACTTCCCGCTGGCTCCCCAGAATTCCTGTAGATTCACCCTGCCCCCCAGCATTGCCTCAAAGCTACAGCCACAGGAAGACTTCCAAGTCATTGCTCTGTCTTTTCCCCTTCTTGTCTCTTACCTTGCACCACCTTTTCTGCTCTTGTTCATCTAATAGAAACCTACACATGGCTTGACACAACTCAGTGTTACCTCTTTCCCCATAGTACCCCATTCCGTTTTTCTCTTCACCATGTGCCTGTGCTATACCTTACACATGTCAGTCACAACGCCAGTACATTTTATTATATTTCTCTGGACTAACGCTTGTTGAAAGCAGAAACCATGTACTTGTGTCAGCAGAGATTGAACAATGATGAACAGATCGTAGACCCTTCCTCAATGTTTATAGAATGAATAAATGATAAAATAGACAGTTTGGAATAATGCTAATAGCGTTAACTCAGCCACTAAAGTAAAGATTGTCACATTTAAGCATTTCGCCATCATGGTTAGTGAAGATAGGCAACATAATCTATGCTGCTCTATGTTTAACAAATTCAAAAAATTGAGGAAGTCAGGCAGTCCGCATGTGATATATCTGAGTTAATTATTTGGCTAAAGGGATCTCTTTCTGCCCATTGAAGCAACTGGCAACTGCAAAGGACAGGGATTTAAATTTTAAAAGCTCTTGATTTATGTGGTTTCTAAGTGCCTTGCATGTGTTAATGAAATTATCACAAACATTATCTTCCTTGGGGATTTGCTGCCAGATTATAAAGGATTTCAAACACCTCATATTATCAGATAGTAATAGTGCTAAATTGAGAATTTAATATTCATTGGAAAAATTACTTAGATATATCGTGATGCACCACTTAACGAAAGAATACATTGTGATAAATGTGTCGTAAGGTGAATTCAGCATCGTGCGAACATCAGAGAGTGTACTCACACAAACCTA